GCCATGAGCATTCATAGGGATTTAGATGAATTCCAACGGATATGGTTTGTTTTGTTTCTGTTTTTAGGTTGATATCCCTGAAAGTACTTAATAGCATTGTGCTGTTGGGGAAATCGTGCCAGTATGTGAAAGAAGCCAAAATGGAAGAGAAGCTGTCGAATCCTCCCCCAGCCTGCACTCCAGGCAAGCCGTCCAGTAAATCACAGAACAAATGTAAACCCTCTCAAGGTAGGTTTGGTCCCTTTCTTCACTTCCCTGGATCATTTTCAAATAGTTAAATCACAGTTCAATCAATGTTAAGCAACGCTTTAAAGATTGGTTTCACTTTGCCTAGGTTCTTTGGTCTTTTAATGGTTGTGTTTTAGATCCCATCGCATATATACCTGGCCCAGTGTTCTGAGTTCTGCATTTACTCATTCGCTGTTCAGTATTGAGCACCTGTGACACGTCAACTCCAGTGGATACAGCACTGGGGTGGAAAGGCAATTCTCTGCTCCCGTGGAGCTTGTTCTAGATTGTCGGGAAGAGGGGTAGAGAGAAATAAATATGCACTATGTCAAGTGACGGGGAACTGCGGAGAAAACAAAAGCAGGACGGGGAAAGGGAAGTACAACAGGGAGTTGGATGCTCCCCCAAGTGTGAGGAGATGGCACTGCACAGAGTCCTGGAGCCTGAGGACGGCACATCCAGCCTTCCAGGAGCAGCTCCCAGTCAGAGGCCCAGCAGGAAGAGGCTTGGTGCATCAAAGGACATTAAAAGCAAGGTGGCTGCAGTGGCCCATTCCCAGGGAAAAGCACTGGAGAGGGGGTTTTGGGGGCCATGGAGGGCTGTAGGCTGTTACGAGGACCTTGGCTTTGACTCCAGGTGGAAGGGGGCTGTTGTGGGGCTTTGAGCGGAGCAGTGGCATGGTGCAGCTGACATTTTATTTATTTATTTATTTTTATTTTTATTTTATTTATTTATTTTTTTTTGAGACGGAGTCTCGCTCTGTCACCCAGGCTAGAGTGCAGTGGCCGGACCTCAGCTCGCTGCAAGCTCCGCCTCCTGGGTTTACGCCATTCTCCTGCCTCAGCCTCCCGAGTAGCTGGGACTACAGGTGCCCGCCACCTCGCCCGGCTAGTTTTTTGTATTTTTTAGTAGAGACGGGGTTTCACCGTGTTAGCCAGGATGGTCTCGATCTCCTGACCTCGTGATCCGCCCATCTCGGCCTCCCAAAGTGCTGGGATTACAGGCTTGAGCCACCGCGCCCGGCCGAAGCTGACATTTTAAAAGGATCATTCTCAAGCTTTGTGGAAAATAAACTCCAGAGGGGTGGGACCAGAGAGGCAGCTACCTGGCCAGGAGCAGGGTAGGCAGTGTGAGCAGGGAGACCTGGCCAGGTTCTGGATAGACCTGGGAGGTTTGTGTGAAGTATTTGCTGATGAGGAAGTTACGCAGTGTGAGAAGAATAAGAGAGTTCAGGATGATTCCAAGGTTTCTGGTCTGGAAGATTTGGAGGAAGAACTGGGACACTGACTTAATTTTTGTTGTTAGGTGGCAGTTCCCTGTTCACAAAGGTGTTTGTTCATATGACTTTTAAATGATGTATTTTTAAATGTGTGGAACAACTGTGTGCCAGGTATTAGAGGAGATGCTGAAGATAGAAAGATAAATAAAGGATGTCCTTCAAGGCCTCATGTAATTACAGGGGTCCAATTAGGTGAGCAGAGGGTTTGGAGGGACAGGAGAGGGTTCTTCTAAACTAAAAGCTTGAAGGATGAAACTGGCCTAGGGCAGGCTGGTGGAAAGGGCATTCCAGAAGGGCCAGCATGAGTTAGATCATGGAGGCCTGGAAAAGCATCTGGAGAACTAGCAGCTCAATATGGCAAGTGTGGAGTGTGCTTCAGAAAGAGGGAGGAGAGGAGATTTGGGCTGGACTGGAGTGCTACCTGAAAGTGGGGCTGTGCTCATCATGTGTACTTAACAGGAAGCAAAAATAAAGTAAAATAACAATGTGTATAATCACTGAGAAATAATTGTTTTCATTATAAGAACACTGTTAGTAATAAGGATTGTATTTTTTTCAGCCAACTAGGTAATTCATAGTGAGGCCTGTATGTGTTCTCTTGTTATGTATATTAGTTAAGAAGTTAGGCCAGGCATGGTGGCACACGCCTTTAATAATCCCAGCACTTTGGGAGGCTAAGGCAGAAGCAGTGCTTGAGCCCAGGAGTTCGAGACCAGCCTGGGCAACCTAGTGAGTCACATCTCCACAAAAAATATAAAAAGAAGTTAGTAAGCATCAGTCTTGCTTTCAAGGAGGATCCAGTCTAATGGGGATAAAAGCTTAAAGCACGTACTACAGGGCAGGGCCATTGACTCAGGGGTCATGTTATGAGAAGTACATTCAGGACGAGGGTCTGAGTGTTTGCACAGAATGTCTTGGAGGTCAGGAGAACACAGACTAGAGACCATTCAGGAGGGTGTTGAAGTCAAGCTGAAGAGCGGGAGGGGGCCGTCTCGAGGCTGCATGGGATTCATCACGTTGTAAGGAGACAAAAGACAGCAGTCCTGGGGGTGAGGGCAGGAGAGAGGAATTAGTGCAAGAGAGCTGGATGTGTCATTACCTCCATCATGGCAGTGGTGTGACCAGGTGTATGCACATGTCAGAACTCATCAGATTATACATTTTAAATGTGTACAGCTGATAGTATGTCTTTTTTGCCTCAAAGAAGCTGTTCTTACGTGGATTGAATGTATGATTCAGATGAGTCGCTCTGGGCCCCAGCCCAGCTGTCCCCAAAGCCAGGCTTCAGAATCTCTGTGGCCTAAAATAAACACTGGGGGTTTTGTTTATTTGTTTGTTTTTACCTCTGGTTTGTACTTCCCAGAGATGATGATGCTAAACCAACTGTAGCTGAAGTGACTGCAGATGACAGGTAGAATGTAGTAAAGTCTTCTTGGCCCACTCCCTGATGTTCCGTATTGGAGCAAATGTTAATTTTTCAGGACTGGCAACAGTCATGTTAGGTCTTGATTATATAGAGAGGAGCCGTATTGTAGGAGTTATGATCTTTCTACAGTTGGGTGATGGCATTGTTTGTGTGATACAAGCAACGTAATATACCCTTCCATAAAATTGAACAAACAGATGATTGGCCTCTAAGTTTTATTTTATGATGGCTGCTTATACAACATGCTATTTGGTTATCATTTGCTTTATCTAAAAGCATGGATGATGGGCACTTTTTTCAGCACCACTATATTGGTAAGTTTTTATTTATTGCACATTGGGGAAAATCTTTCTCTAATTTAATGGACCTATTTTATCACAGGCCTTTCCACAGAAGAAAACCTGTCTGCCTCTGTCACCAATCAGCCTGTTCATCAAAAGGAAAATATCATACCATTACTTGTGACAAGCAACTCTGATCAGTTTTTGACAACTCCAGATGGTGACGAGAAGGACATAACGCAGGACAATTCTGAATTAAAACACAGATCCTCAAAGAAAGATTTGTTAGAGATAGACAGGTTCACAATTTGCGGAAACCGAATTGACTGAATCTGTGGCTCCATGTGCTGACGAAGCTGGGTCCTGGGGCAGCAAATGCTGTGTTGCCAGGACAGACAGATGCTAAACATGGCACTTAAATATTTATTTAAAAACTTAAATTATTATTGGCAAGCAGATCTTAGTATCTTTCTTCCAGTAATGTGGCCTGGCTGAGGGTCAGATCACAAGACAGGAGCGACCTCGGCCTTGACTCTCTGGGAAGCTTGATGGATTATAAAACTTCCTCCTGCCTGGCCAAGCAGCAGCGTCACTTCCAGGACCCAACCAAGGCAACATCAGAATCTGTTTTGCTTTGTCAATCTGGGCTTCCAGAATGTTGAATTTGCCTCAAGGCCTCTTCAGTGTAAGGAAATACCTGGAAAACTGTGAAGCTTTTACCATGACGTTACCTTACCAGTCTCATACTATTTTCACAAACAGTTTTCAAATGTTACTACATCTGCCAAAGCATTAAAAAAAATTAAACATAAGTCAACATAAATGTTCTTACCACCAGAATAACCCTTAAAGATGTATCTTGATTAATCAGAATAAAAGGCTACCTTAAATAAGACATAATGAATAGTAGCATTTTGTAGGGTAAACAAAAACAAAAAACGCTAAACCAGTTTATTTATTTTAAAAATTAATGAAGGCTATGCATTACTGGGAAAAACCCTTCATAATTTTTCAGTTTACTCTTTAAAGCAAAATGTGAGCTGTATGTCATTTAATTGTGGTGGATAAAATATAAATGCCCTTACAAAAGGGCACTTTTTACACCAAGGAAGCAGAGCAGTGTTAACTTTAAGGTATACTTCACTGGTTGTGCTTTAAAACTAATTGCTTCATAAATTATTACAGCTAAAAGGATTTGGTGTTGAACAGGCTGAAAAATTGTCAGTGTACAAAATTCAAAACTGTCAATTTTAACTGTAAGTAAATGCTCCAAGTGTGTTAGGCAGCAGCATCTTGCTTGGGCTTATCAAATGCATCAGTCCTTCTGTTTAGGTGGACAGCGGGTGTGCCTGTGCTGGGGCAGGGTGTGTGTTCTATGGGTGTGTGTCTGTGGGGATGTGACGGTCAGGGTGTGCCTGTGCTGGGGCAGGGTGTGTGTTCTATGGGTGTGTGTCTATGGGGATGTGACGGTCAGGGTGTGCCTGTGCTGGGGCAGGGTTTGTGTTCTGTGGGTGTGTGTCTGTGGGGATGTGACTGTCAGGGTGGGCCTGTGCTGGGGATGGGACAGGCCCCGGTCTGAGGAGGATTTTGTGTGAAAGTAAATGGGTGTTCGAGGCGTATGGGTGGCTGTCAGTGTGGGGAGGCATCTGTGTATGGCTGTTGGGAACAGCAACCAAAAAGTGCTTTTGGTTTTGTTTAGATAAGATTCTGTTTCCACTTAATTACTAGTTTGTGGCCTACATCATAGGTCAAGTTATTTCCCACCCCATTTTATCTTGATAAACCCGTTTGTATTTCTGTAAAACTTCTACAACTTCTGGTTTCAGAACTGTCCAGAAGGTGGTCCTGTTAACTGTTATTTCCTTTGATGTTTTGATTTTGAAGTTTAGCTCTCATGCAAATGTTTCAGGCATGTATATATGCAGAAGGCAATTTTTAGGTGATTTTTCCGTTTCTTGGATGACATATAAAGCAAGCTTTAATATTCCGACCTGTTCATTTGAAATACAAAAACAGTAAGTGAATTTTAATGTTTTGTATTAACTAAAGAAATCTGAAGATTAATGTTGAGGAAAGTGTATGGACATGCCTTTGTGAAACCAGGAAGTATTTTAAGTTAAAAATGAAAAAGCTTTTAATTGCTTTGTGTGTGTTTTAGTGGAGCCCCATTTTAGAATTATTATTTTTTTTCCATCTCCCTTTACCAACAAAAGGAACAATGCCACGGTGAATGGAATAGTTTGGGGAAAGCTTTGCCAAACACAACCCTGATTTCAGAGCAGGAACATGGTTTAGATAGATCTTCAGTTCCGCTTGAATTTTTCTGTTACTGTGCTGTCATTTTCAGAAGATTTCCATTCGTTTGCAGATGCTGTTGGGAGTTCGGGATTATGTTCATTTCTTCTGTCATAATGGCATTCAATACTAATTTTATAAGTGCATCTTGTGTGAAACTCAATAAATTCAATTTTGTAATCTTTTTTAAAAAGGTCACTGAATTTCTTTTAATATTTACTATTGTATTTGGAAGAGTGAATTTCCCACTGTATAATAAGAATTTATTTGTAATTCACAAGTGGTAGAGCTATCTTAATTTGAATTATTGTTTTGGTCTTAATGGTGGCAAAATGTTTAATTTTGTCTTTGGAAAAAATAGGCTGGGCCTTGATTATAGACCGTTTAATATTTCTCAGCAAATGAAGATATTTACATTTTACAAGTGGTTTGAATGTCACACAAAATATTTTTCACATCTGGGAGTCAAGTTCAAGACAGTACTTTGGTTTTTAAAAAATCAGCCTAGGCCAGACCCTTACTAGGTTTTTCTTTAGAATAAGTGTAAAGACCAAGTGTCATTGATACACTTGTCCAGATTTTCTTGTGGACTTTAGCCAGTATTTAGACTTTATATTCATTTTAAATAAAGTGAAAGAAACTTGCTATAATTGGGCCATCAAAATATATCCTGCCACTCCTGGTAACTCAGCAGAGGAGGAGATAAATTTACAAAATAATATCTCTACATTGTTATATATTCTCATTTCAACTATTTTTTATCAACAAAGATTTGTTAATCACTTCCTATGTGTCAGAAACTGTTCTAAGTGGTGGGATCAGCAGTGAACAAGGTAAGTCCCTGTTCTTCTGTGGAAGACTGATAGGAACAAGTCAATGAAATAATGTCTGCTGGTCACAGGGTGTTCACTGACCAAATGATTTCTCAGGCTTATTTCAGCTCTAAAATATAGTTCTTTAAAATGTTTATGTAAGTCTGATTTTTTTCTTATTGGATTGACTTGAAATAAGATAATTGTATAGCAATTTTACAGTGCTTCTATAAAATAGAAATAAGAAAATACTTTCCTCCTGAAGACTGCTAGTTACCCAGCAAAATCCGCTCTCCTGTTCCATTGTGTAGAGTTGTAGCTGGGCACATGCTACTTGCTGGGGACTGCATTTTTCAGCCCCTCTTGCCGTTACCTGTTGGCCAGCTGACTCATTCTCCCCAGGGGATGTAAATTGAAGGGTGTATGCCGTTACTGGGCCAGGACCCTTAAGACCGTGGGTGAGTCCCCCTCACCTCCTCTATCCCCTTCCCACAGGTGGAACCCAGAGAAGGTAGTGACCTTGTCCCAGTAGATGCCCATCATGGCAGAGCCTTGAGAGAGAAGGAACCTGGATCCCTGAATGCCGCTGTGGAGCAGAGTTGCCGGTCAGCTTGGAAAATTCCGCTGGACTATACATAAGAGAGAAACTTTTGAGATACCATTGTTTCTAAGCCACTGAACCTGGAGGTTCTGTTCATGAAGTTCAGCCCCACGTTAGTACATTAGGAAATCTGAGAGGGACTGTTTAGAGATCTTTACATAAAAGGAGGAAGGAGTTAGACCTATCTTGCTAAAACACATTCTTCTGAAAATTCTCTCTCTGGATACCCATTATTTATTATTTATATGGAAAAAGATAAAGATTACTCCACCCCACTTTTTCAGAGGTCAGACTCCCAGCACCCTTGGCTGCTTGAACTAAACATTAAACTTGCTCATAAATGGCAAAGTTCTATTTGTCCATATACTCTATCAAATAGACATTTC